CGATTGAGACTGGGCTTGGTGGCGCGTGCGTGTAATCCCAGCACTGGGGAGGCTGAAAACAGGAGGATCACTACGAGTCCGATTTACATAGTGAGACCCTCTAGACCCTGTACACCCTGTCCTAAATTCATAAAAATAAAGAAACCTTGAAAACAAAAAATACACAGTTAACTTTAACGATCCTCCTCCAAGATCCCCAGGCAAAATATTCATCTTATGCCTGGCTGCAATGCACCAAACAGCTCTAATTAAATGCTTTCATTAAAAGGAAGAGGGTCAGGCAAAGCCAGTATTAACAGAAATAATTTTTTTTTTAAAATTTTAGGGAAGGGTCTACAGGGTGTTCAAAATCTCACTACCCAGATTCATTGTGATCCGCCTGTTTACAGCCTCCCAAGAGCTGGGATTACAGGCACGCGCCACCACGCCCAGTCTCAACTGCTGTCTCAGCGCGCGCGGGGGGGGGGGGGGGGGTCGGCACGGCAAGCCCAGGGATAGAATAATTACATATTTAATGACACAACTTGATTTTTTTGGCTGCCATGGATTGTCTAAAAAAGAGCTCTATTATACATGTCCACAAGAGCGCTTACTTTACTGCAACAACAGAGAAGACTGTCGTAACTCAATTTTAAAATGCCAGTCAGCATCTCTGAAGGCTAAACCTCTCTCTTGGCAAGCAAGAGGAATGCCGGGAGCACCCAGAACCCTTGGCAGAAACATGTCTCTTCTTCCTCACTCCTGTGGGGTGAATTCCAGTGTAGACAAAGTCACTTTTCTTTTTGAGACAGGGTTGGCTATATTGCCACGTGACCTCAAACTCGGGACGATCCTCACCTCAGCTTTCCAGTCTTGCTGGGGTCACAGGGGGGGTGTCATCACACCCTGTTACAAAGTCACTTTTCTTTTTTTTTTTTTTTTTTTTTTTTGGTGGAATCGAGAACTGAACTCAAGCCCTTGTGCTTGCCAGGGAAGCACTTATTCCAGTGAGCCATCTCCCCGGCCCCACATTTGTGCTTCTTTATACTTTAATTAAATGACTTTTACTATTGTTGCCTATTGAATTAGTGTAAACTAAAAGCATTAATCTACATAAAAAGCTAGTTGTTCTGCAATTTATGGCTTAATTTCCAAATATCTCTAAACAATATTCTAAGACCCTTTGGTACACTCTCCAGACTTGGACTGTTCGTGATCTCGAATTTACCATTCAGGGATTTATACAAGGAAGCGCACATCCTGCCAGAAGGTTCTCCTCCGAGGGCAGCCTGTAACGCTGGATGGCTTCCTGAGCCCCAGCAGCAAGAGGAGCAGCTGCGTCGCCAGGGCCACAGTGCGCACAGTCAGCCCGAGGCAACAGCTAGCAGCACCAAGCCCCAAAGAGAAGGCAAACCTGCCTGAGCACACAGGCAGGTTTCTCGGGCTCCATTTTTCTCCTTTATTTGGGCCATCATGTGAAAGATAAATTATTCTCTAAAGCGATTAAGTACTTTCATCAATTAGCCAGCTACAGAATTAATCCTGAAGGAAAAACGTAATAAGCTCTTCTTCTCTAAGTGCCAGCTGTCAAAAACTGTCAGAGTTGGGCAAAGCTCTGTAATGTTCCAATCAAAGCAGAGTGGAAAGTCACCGCACGAAAGCCATTAAGCTGCACTGCTGAATGTCCAACGTTACATAAAAACTATAAATAGCTTTGTACTTTAGGGTTTAAAATTTGCTTTTCTTGAAGTAATAATGATGTTCTGCTTCAGTTAATAAAGTGATTTTAGAGCTGTCTTTGAGTTTAATCCACATACTCTTTCTGTGTAGAATAAAAATGGCAAGTACTAATCAAATCAGTAGAATCCTCGGCATTCCTTGGAGTACCTGTCATTAATAACTTTAAAGCTTAAGAGGTACACTGGCAAAAAAAAAAAAAAAAAAAAAAAAAAAAAAAAAAAAAAAAAAAAAAAAGATGCTGGCCTGTATTTACATAGCCAGAGGCGCAGCTCTACCGATTTTGCCTTTGCTAAGTTTGTCATATCTACTGACACATACATGGAGGTACTGGGTGGAATCCGTATTCATCTAAGTGCATTCCCTCATGCTGAATAAATTAGTTTACTTCCATTTAAATGGAGTTGTATAGG